AGCATCTCTGTAAATGCCCACTGAAAATATAGAGAGAGAGGCCAAAGGAGTGAAAATAAGTGAACACTCAGATGTGTCCTTCAAGTGAAAACAGACTCCCTTGAGCAACCTTGAAGTTCAGGCCCAGCAGTCTCTGAACCAGCGCGGTCACTTGGCCAGGGGCTGTTTTGTACTGGTTCAACTCCCCCTGCTCTGCTGTCCTTGAATGCCAAACCCTTTGGCATGTGAGATGTAAATTCTTTGGGATTGAACTTGAAGGCTTCATGAGAGGACAGCTTGACCAACTTCATTAGTATCAGCATGCATTTCCTTTCCTTCAGCTGACATGACTTCCCACTGCAGCACTGACAAGGTGGTCCTGGATAGCAGGGTGCACCAGCTAATAATGTATTTACTATGCTGAAGGATCTCCTATCACTGAGGCTTTCTCTAATATTACACAAAGGCTGATTACAACAAAGTTATCTGAAGTTGCTTTTAAGATTATCCTTTTTATCTTTTTAAGTGATGTTCAGGCTTTCCCTGCATTTATTGGTATATTCAATACTCCAGTCAAATCACACTTGTAGCTCAGCATATTTCTAATATCCACAGATGGGAAAGATACTGATAGCAGTATTTAAGAGCCACCCTCCCTGAAAAATCAGTTGTTTCTTTGTTTCAAAAGGTAGGGGCAAAACTGTTTCTTTTCATAAGGATGGATTTCAGTTACATTAAGCAAGTTTAGTTCGACAGCAGGCCCTGATGAAACTAAGAAATAAACAGCAGCAAGCAAATAGGATAGGTGTATGGGAAAACATATTTCACCTTCTGGCTGGGGAAGATATGAGCATGGAGTTCCACAGTTCTTCTAAAACTTGTATATCCAGATAATCTGGATATATAAATATGTAGAAAAAGATGCAGTTGTACATAATATCTCCAAATGCAGATATTTATCTGTAGGTTGGTGTTTAGTCCTCCTTCCGTTCATAACTCTTATCTTTCAGTGTTGATAATAACTTTTTTGGGGGGCAAATTATCAGTCTCCACTCAGCTGTTTGAATTTCGAACTTGTTTTGTGCTTGTGTTTAAAATAATCCAGTTGACACTGCCAACCTTTCCTTTCTGTACCATTACTTATTTTTATGTGCTTGTCCTGCTTCCTCTTTTTTTGTCTCCTATGAAGTCAACAGCTCCAAAATTTTTTCTCTTTCTGCAGAGGGGAGATTTTCTCCTTCTTTTTTGATGGCAAGCTGCTATCTAGTCAGACACCAGGCTAGAGGGGGCGAGAAGAAATGGGGACTCTCTCCTTGTAGGCAATGACTAAACCAGATTGTTGTTCCTAGTGGAGACAGAAATAGGCAAACAGGTTCTCAGTTTAGGCCCCCTGAACATCTTGGTTGAACAAAAATCTGTTAAAAGGTGCTAAACTTAACATTTTTGTATGAGAAGTTTCTTACTGTTTTCCCTACCGTAAGAGCCCTTTAACATTCTTTTTCCCCTCAAAAAAAAAGAAGACCAAAAAACCCTGCAGGGTGCTGTGGCATTACTATGGATTGAATTAGTTTGAGGTGTACTCACAGAGCTGCTGAGGTCTGGATCACCAAGCACAAGACTGATCTTTAGCCCTGACAAGACTACATAAAACCCATCCTCTGACAGTTGCCTACTGCTTCCAGGAGCACTCCCTTCTTTTCCCATAAATTCATTTGCATTCAGGGCTGCTCCTGTATGCCAATTAGCTTTAATTTTTACTATACACACTGACATCAATGCCCAATGAGAACAGGGCATAGCAGGGTTTTTAGTGTGCCCATAAACTACAGAAAATTGTCCTTGGACAAACTCCTGCTTTTAGACTGGCTGACAACAATAGACATGGTTAAGTTCAGGCTAAGAGCCATTAAACATAATTACTACCACAGGGTAAAAGTTTAATTGTGCTAAATTTTAAATCTGCATAGTCTATGCTTATTTACAAGCTGGCTGGATCTTCCTGTTATATAAAGGGGAATAAATCTGTACTTAAAAATTGTTGCCTTTTAACTTCAAAGGGAAGTGAATAAATAGGGGTTTTTTTAGAAGAAGCAAAACAACCCCAAACTGAAAACTTTCTGTATTTCCAGCTTCTTTTATGCCAATGGCTCCAAGCTGGTAAGTAGAGGCTAAACATCTTCTGATAGATTTTTCTAATGTGCTTCAACTTCGTGTGTGTGAATGTGTGACAGAGTGTTGCATCTGTTATGAAGGTGTCTGGGGGACAGAATGCAGATCAGTTTGTTCATGTGGGGTTATTTTAAATTTAACCACAGATGGGGCTTGGGGCGGAAGGCTTTTCCTCCTGCTCCTTATCTTCTCTCCCTCCTTCCAATAATGTTAAGCTCCCCACTTCAGGAAGTTTCAGCTCAAGAAGCTTCTGGATCAGGAGATATCAGAGGTGGCAGGTTTTCTACAAGCAAACAAAAAAAAAGGGCAAAAGATTCTGTCCATTTTGCATTTTCTTTCAACAGATTAAAAAAATGTCATGTTCACTGAGCTACAAGTTACGGCGTATTTTTAGAAGCATGGTGAATGCATGGGGCTCTAAATCACTCCCTGAAAAGCAGATTAAAATTAGGAGGTGCTAGAATAAGTGTGAAATGTTCATCTGTTGGGAAAGGAAGGGTATGGAGGACTGTGAAACTTGATAGAAGAGACAAAGATTAGCACTCTGACTCGCTGGAAGCCACGTTATGTAGACATTAGAAGGCAACACGATTTCATCTGGACAGAACATAAGCTTCAGATCTTATGCAAACAGTCAAAGCTGTTTAACAATTGGTTTACCCCCAAAACCCCTGAAAGGAGACAGGTGAATACGATGCCAAATACATTTTTCATGTTTCTTAAGCTAACTGTTTAAATAGTTAAGTGAACATCTGTCCAAATTTCCCCATCATTTCCATTTAGAAAAGTCTCCTATTTGAAGGCTGAAGAAAAGCACCTGCTTAACAATGCAAATGGTGCTGTCTGGGGCCCCTTTATTTTGTTTAATCTAGATTGAGCTCCACACAACTGTGATGCTAATGAATAATGGATATTTTATACTTGTGCATGTAGCAGTGCTGGGCACAGAGCAAATCTAGGATTAACCTCCCAGTTTCCCTGCCTAATGCATTTGACTCATTTTTTTGAGTTTGCTGTGACTTGGGTACTCTAAAAATGGATGTCTGGTTTTATGGGAAATGGGAAAATCCTGGCAAAAGCTCTCAGGCTTTGCTGTGCCCAAGTGGAAAAGGGCAGCTAGGTTGAGGAGGGGAGGGATGTCTGCAGTAATGGCTTGATTTGTGAGTGGGTGCTGAATGAGAGCCAGGGTGTTCCAGGGTGGAGACCTGGACGCTTTTCAGAGCTGCATTTTTCCAGTCCAGTCTGCTGGCGTTAGGCAGCCAAGGCTCATGCCCAGCTGCCTCCCCTGCCTGTGGGGGCAGGAGCAAGAGGGGTCAGCTTGCAGGGAGAAAGGGGCTGCCTTTTGCTGGTGCAAATTATACAGCTGGGATTTCACTCTGCCTTTCAGCCTTCAGATGATGGAATCATGGGGGAAGAAATTTTGGTACTCCCTTTGCGGATTTTCCATCCTGCATGAGTGTTTCTGTTTTGGTTTGTGTGATTTAGTTCTGAGGGAAAAAATGTAGTGCTGTTTCTTCATAGGAAGGCATGGGATTTTCCAGCCAAACTAATGAAAAACCCCTGATATCACTCCTAAAGAAAAATAGAGGTGGGCTTTCTTACAACTGGAGAGCGAGCTGACTTCGGGAGCACTGTAGGAGGGTGGGAGAGTTGTGTGTAGGTTTCTATAACACTGCTGGGTGTTTTAATTCACAATTACTGGCCAGTAATAATTAGTATTGATTTGCCTGGCAAATTGCAGGTTTAGAAATTGGTTATAGATTTTCCTGATGTTTCTCATCTGCGTGCTGTGGAATCAGGCAGAACCGATGGCTTGAAACAAACCGCGAGCCCAGCTCTGTCGGCGGGCAGCGGCGCGTTGCGTGCACAGAGCTAATGGCCAGCAGGGATTGCACCTCTTGAGGCTCATCACCCCCAAAACACCATTTCTGTCATCCCCTAGGCCCAGTGACTAACCACATGTGACCAGAGGCTGGGGTGAACCTCGGTTCTGTCAGCCCATGGCACCGTGCCCCTGGCACACACGAGGTCTGCAGGGACACCTCGGGCAAGGGGCTGCGGGGAGGATGCCACAGTCGTGCTCGAGTCCCCCGGCAGGAGCTGCAACAGCAGCAGACATCTGGGGAGACAGATAGTGAAAGCCAAGATGAAAATGGCCAAGCTTCCAGTGCTGAAGGGCTGTCCTGGAGGGCGGGGAGCTGAAGTGGAACGGCTGAGCATGCTGCTCAGGCTGCCGTGGAAGGGCTTAGCTGGCTCCCGGGAGGGCTGGGGAGGCACAGCCGGGGAGGAGGGCTTGCTCTCTCTCTGAGATGCCTGGCAAAATGCTGTGCACTCATGGCAAGAGAAGCTGTGCTTTTTCTTTTTAAGCAGCAGGTAAGTGAGGTTCTTCCTGAGCTCTGTTACAGCGCTGCCTGCCAGGATTGGCAAAGTTTGCAGGACTTGTGTGTCCTGCTGCCAGCCTGTCCCTCCACCAGGCTGCGGCCAAGCGCAGCAAGCCCTTGGGGAGCAGGATGGGCAGCACCCAGCACCTACCCCACTGCTGCAGAGAGGCAGATAGTTTTTGACTGAAATTTTGTGAGCCCCAAAATAGTGCTCTAAGTGTTTAATGCTTTTCTCCATTAGACAGCAAATTAGCCCTAGGCTCACAAACCAAATGAAGTTTCATCTCGATGATCGGAGCCTGCTCACCAGGCATTTTTATCCCAAGTTCCTGCATGCTGGTTGGTCAGTGAAATGGAGACTGCAACTTCTATTTATTGGTGCAATACAGTATTTGATACTGCTAATTACACTTAATTAGTCCTTCCACCATTTAATTAAAATGGCTTCTAATGATTGTGCTTCTTTGGCAGGCTCTTTGGTACCACCGGGAATTGTGCTGCCTGCAGTAAACTGATCCCTGCCTTTGAGATGGTGATGAGGGCCAGAGATAATGTTTACCATTTGGACTGCTTTGCCTGTCAGCTCTGCAACCAGCGGTGAGGACACAGTTATTGTACACACAAACTAATTTATACCTTTGCCTGTGAAACAGGGGAAATGTTTGATGCACACTGCCCAGCTTGGGCTCACAGCCTGGGGGCAGGGCTGGGGCTGGGCTGCCAGACTGACCTGGGGGATCCATGTGAGTACCTGTAGCCCTTTTACTGCAAATCCCCTTGGAGCTGGTGGGAATTGGAGGGGCAAGGGGGAGGACACAGACACAGACTGTCCAGCTGCTGCTGAATAAAACAAACTGCTCCAGCGTCCTTTCAGGAGCTGCCTTCTTTGCAGAAGGCAGATGATGGGGAATGGACCTCCTCTAGCAAACTGACATTATCTCACTTAAATCATGTTTCTGACATGCTCAAAACTGGGGGTGGAAAAGAAGAAGTATAAAGAGAAGGGACAGGAAGGAAAAAAGTACTCTGGCTAAGCCCTTTTCAGCACTGGGAACAAATCAATTTAGTTGTTGTGTAATTAATAGGGGATCTTGGTGGTATAATTTTGAGTGGGGCTTATTTACTTCTGCTGGGTGGAAGATGGACATCAGGGAGTATAATAAAGGGCCATGCACAGTGTTTTCACTTGAACTACCTGTAGCCAGTTTAGTTTGGGAGGGCTGTGAAAACTCTTCCCAGCACCACGTTTGTTGATCATCGTAGGCAGAATGGAAGCCCACAGAACCAGATGTAATACTTTGTCACCTTCTGATGCATCCAGCTGTCCATCCTTGTCCAAGATAGACCTGGAACTTCTTGCAGGTCTTATTGCTTGCTTAGTCAGGCTGTAGTGTCTGCCCAGGGTCGAGGGCCGTGCTGGTGTTCCTGTTCTGGATCTGTGGCTGTGTTTCCCAAAGATGAAACTAGGATGCAATGCCTCATCCCATGGGGAAAGCGGGAGAGAGATGACAAGACTTGTGGGAAGATGGAGAACCCAATTCTGTAAAAGTCAGGCTAAAATCCTGACTTAAACAGTCTAGAAAAGAGTCACAGTGGGATCTCTCACGAAGCAGCCATACATATGTGAACGCAAGCCCCTGCCAGCTCCCCCTGAGCTTGGGAGATGCTGTCCGGCTCTGCTCCCGCAGCCGCGCCCGTGGCTCAGCCCGAGGGTGAATTTGGTGCCAGCGGGGCGGTGCCAGGGCGCGGCGGAGGCCGATGAGGTGCTGTCCTCGCTGGCAGTGCTCGTTCCAGGTGCGCCAGTCCCGTCAGTGCTGTCCCCGCACGGGCGCGGTGGCAGTGCCGGGCCGGCAGTGACATCTAGTGGCTCCGGGCCCTGGGCTCGCTGCGGGATCTGGGCTGCCCAGTCTTGTTCTGCGGCTCTTGAACGCTGAGCTGATCCCACCTCATCCCCCGAGATGCTCATCTCACCTCAGTTCTGGGATTCCTCTCCAGACTCGGGAGTGTGGCCGGTGCTGCCAGGCTCAGCCCTCGGGATCAGCTCTTTTCAGCCTCCTGATGATTCCTGGGCAGGAGAGGCTTGCTCCCAAACTCCACACCGAACCTGGAGCTGTAAATGTCCTTTCAGGCAGAGGCTCTGGGCTGCACAGTCAGGAGTGCTGCTTGGCCTTGGAGTCTGCAGGCTGAGTGTCTCTCATCAAACCCCTATTTCACCCTTCTTCTCTCCCAGAAAATCCTAGTGCTGCCTGGTTTTCATTTTCTGTCATTTCTTTTCAATTTCACCCTTTATTTCAAAGGCTCCAAAGCACCTCCCTTCCCTCTCAATTGCCAGCATGGTCCCACTTTGTCCTTCAGACAACCTCCAGGGCTGTCACTGCCCAGCAGGAGAGTGCAGGTAATCCCCCCCATTCTGGCAGAGCTGTGCTGTGATGCACAAGGGATTTGCTCAGTTTGTGAGGGGCTGAGTTGTTCTGGAAGATGGGCTATGTGTAGATCCTTGCTTTTGGCTGAGGTCAAAGGGCTGCCAATTTTTATTACTTAATCTGTGGAGATTTGGGCTTGAAAGGGCAGAATGGAAGTGATCCTGTAACAGACAGCACTGGATGCTGAACTGAGAACATGAGATTAAGTAACCCTAAAGTCAGAATTGCAGAGGTGGATGCCAGTTCTGGTTCTGAATTGGAAACCTCACTGGAAACCCTGTCTTGTTCTTCAGCTCTGAAAAGATTTGATGATGAAGACCTTTCCTCAGTTCTCTTCCAGCTTGCTTGCCCTTCTATAGCTGGGCTCTGAATAGAGTGCTAAATCCATCACAGCAAAATCTCTAATATTTTTACCAAGTGTGCAATGTTTTCATCACTTTCATTCCCTAAAACATCAGTTTTACATCAAGTCCTGCATTACCACTCATGCTGCCATGCTTTAAACTGTTCTAAAGTTGTCATGGTCATTGTAGTGCTGGATAAAGCCTGGTCACTGCTGTGGCTGGCTGATAGGTCAGTGTTACAGGGTTGCAGGAAATCCAGCTCCTTCTCTTGCCATTATCTGAAGTGTGGGTTTGCTGGGAAGAAAATCACTCTTAAGGAATGACAGTGCAGGTTCAGCACCTATTTCTCACTGCTGCTGGCTGGAATTTGATTGCCCAGACAGGCTCTGCAACATCCCTGCTCTGAGCATGGGGGCTGGAAGTGTGAAACTGGGCCTGAGGTTTCCAGTTGTGATGCATCAGCTGAAGAGATCCCAGTTTACTGGTGGGTTTGCAGGACTGGCAGGTAGAAACAGTTTGGTTCCAGTGCATCAAACCCTTCTCCCAAAACTTCACATCACATTAAGGTACCCCTGTAGAGCATTTCAGTTCCCATGTGCTTGTACACACCCCCACACCTTCCAACTCCCAAATTCTCCAGCTCCTCCTTTGGTTCCTCTACACCCAAAACCAGGTTTGGCAAGAGACAGCTGTTGATGGTGCTGGTGGCAAGAGTAATTTTTGCATTTCTCCTCCTGGAGATTTATATGGCACTTAAGGTGGGAATAAGTAGTGAAAAGCAAGCAGCTGTGTCTGTTATTTATGGTGAGTAAACTGCTCCTGGGGCAGGTGGTGTTAAGGAGAGTGTGTGCAGTGCAGTTTTTACCATAAAAGCTGTTAGTTGAAATTAGGAATAATCTTTATCTTTTAAATATGCAGAAAAGGTTGAATTTCAGAACTACTAGAGCATGTGCCACAGAGGGAAGAAGATGGAAGGTCTTCAGTGAAATACTGTAAAGTGTGAACTAATGCCCAGGTCTCTCTGTACCAACTTGGCAAATTAATCAGCTTATATGCCGGTGTCCAGTTGGAGAAAACTTGTGCCTGTGCAAGAAAACTTGTGCCTGTAAAGAAGCTCTAAGGTTATCAGTCCTGTTCTTGTAGCAGAAAATACTCACTTTTATGGAGATGCTCTGCCTGAAGGTGCCTGAGTTACAGATGATGAAAGCACTTTAGACAAGGAGTAGGCAGTGCCAAAGCTCTGCCTGGGAGCAGGGGAAATGGGCATTTGAGGTCTGCTAAGTCTCCTGGGGATGGGGTCACCTCCAGTGATCTTCCTGTAGCTATTTGGCCTTGCCAGAGGCTGGTACCTACCCTTTCCTCTCAGTGCAGAGCTGCCTTGAGGCACAGTGCCTACCCAGGGTGTCTCTCTGCTTTAGGGTCCTGAGGCTGGTTTCAGACTCAGCCCTTGGGGCAGCCTGTGCTCTGGTCTGTCATTGCCCTGCCAGTGTTATGGACAAAAACCAGCCCCTGAATTGGGTGCAGAGAACATTATTTGTTATCTTAAGAAGTAAAGATTAGCTTCTGATTCCTGGGCAAGCAGGCAGGGCGGAAAAAGCTATTGGCTGTCAATTCACACCTCTCCGATCTTATATGTGGAACTTTTTTGACCTTAATGGTCAAATAAAATTGTTAAATATCACAAGCTTCTCTGTCAACTTCAAGACAAACAGAACAATTTACATGGTATATAGAGAGCAGTGCCCTTCGCTCAATGAAGATAAAGGTTAGGAGTCCAGCCACCGAGAAATTTCTATTTATTGTTCAGCACTGTACACAAGGGGGTGAGGGAGGACTTAATAGCCAGTCCTTGCCTGGAAATTAGTGTAAATACTGCTTCACCCGAGGGAGCTGTGGAAATGTGGATACCAGCAAAAACTTCAAATAGGCTGCGTGTAATATCACCCGCCTGACTTCCTGGTTGGAGAGCCAGCATCTCCTGTCTGCAGGGACAAATCCCTGAACTGCTCCCAACCTCCTCCTGGAGCCAAGCACGGATGTGCCAGGGAAAGGACAGCAAAACCCTGGGATGGCAAGGGGGGAAGCACTGGCAGAGCTGGAAATCAAACTCTGCTCACCAGAATCACCTTCGGACCCAAACTGCCTCAAACTCTGCCCGTTCTCACGTCTGTTCGTACTCACACCCTCCAACCCTTTTGTTTTATCTTCCAGATTCTGCGTGGGAGACAAATTTTTCCTGAAGAACAACATGATCTTGTGTCAGATGGACTATGAGGAAGGGCAGCTGAACGGGAGCTTCGAGTCCCAGGTTCAATAACAGCCCCTGCTTGGCTGGAGCACTGTGGGATGGGCGCTTGGCCGCACGAGCAGCGAGGGCGTCTGTCAGCTTGCCTGCAATATTTTTTTAATTCTTGGTCCAGAGAGGACTATATACATTGTAGTACTTTTCCCCCCCAACACAAAGCAGTTACAATTTTAGATGTACAGTTGTGCCTGCTTAGCTGAGCACTGCATTGCCTGTATGTTTGTGAGTTTTTGGGGTCTGGGGGAGGGCTCTGTACAGTCTGTTTTCTGTATATAAACTGGAACATTTATTTTATGAAAAATGTAATGCAATTTTATTACTGGTGTGAATTAAAAATTATGAATGTTTCCTGGTCATCTTTGCCGTGGTTTCTTCCTCATGTGGCAAAAGCCATTCCTGTATTTCCTGTGCTTTGGCTGAGCAGACTGTTGGAAACGTGTACATAGCTCCCTGGAAACTGCATGGATCACAGCAGAGGCAGGTTCTCTCATAATAACTGGGGGAAATGCTGCTGCAGGGTTGTGGAGCCTTCCATCCAACCACCTGCTTCCCTGGATAATGGGGGGGAATGAGCTGGGGGCAGGTGGTGGCTGGGAACCATGGGCATGGCTGGCAGGGCTGCTGTGCCATGCTGGGCTGCTGGCTGAGAGGCTCCTTGTGGATTCAGACAGGGCATTGCCATGGAATTCCTGCTGGCTGCCTGATCCAGTGTCTCCAGTCTGGGCTGAGAGGAACAGGCTCCCTGCAGCCCTGCCAACAGGTGCCTGGGCATTGATCAGAATATTAATTTCAAGGCTTTGCTAGGCAGTGGGATTTTCCCATGGGACATCACTTGTCCAGGTCAGAGCTGCTGCGAGAGCTGATGTCAGGGCTGGGACGTGACCGGGCGCTGATGCAGCAGATCCCTGCTCCCAGCCCTTTTTGCTTACTCTGTGCCAGGTGCTTTGACCTCCCACGAAATAAAAGCGATCAGATTTGAAGCATCTCCCAGAGAAAAAATTCTGAACTGTGTTCCTGCTGCGATGCTTTGTGCAATGATTTTCAAGGTTATGCAATTCATGTGCAACCCACTGGACTGTATCAAACACATTTCTTTGTACAGTGAGTGTCACTTTAATATAGTGCACCAGTAGCTGTAAAGGATGGCTGCAATTCTATTTATTTTGTCTTCTTGCTTTTTCTTAGATTTACCCCCCTTTCCTTTAATAAATAGACACCGAGTACTTTTTTTCTGATGTGACTTAATTGGTTGCTGGTCCTGGGTCACTTGTGTGTGTTCTCTGAATTGCAAATACCAGATGCAGTGCAGCTTGGTGCTGCTCTGCCTGTTGCATGAAATGCTTTTATGTACACCTGTGCTGAATAATGGCTAAGCAGAAGCAAAACACCACCAGACACTTAGCATGCTTCAAAATATCGCCTGTCATCTAGAGCTACCTCAGACATGTGGATTGATTCAGTGATTTTGCTTCACAAACATGTTTTGGGTTGGGAGACCCAGTATAAAATGTGTGGCCTCATCCCTTTTTATTCCCATAAACATGGAATAGCAATTAAAGAGCCACTTAGAGCTGCCTATGGCTATGTGGTGTTTAAACTGCTGTTCTGTTTTAGTGCTTTTTGGGGTGGGGGGAGGTTGCCTTTTGAGAAACTGTAGAGTCGATGCTCTTTTTGTAGAGGCCATTGGAGGCAGCCGCACTGGGGCTACGGAAGGAGCAACTTGTTGCCCAAGTGTTTCCATTCCTTGCTGAAATGGGCTGCCAGACAGCCCCTGCCCCTTCCTGTGCTCTGGACTGATGGATCCCTGCATGCCTGTGGGATCTCAGCACATCGTTCCCGATGTCCAGAGATGCCAGGAGAACCCTTGGGGGTCTCGAAAACCCTGGAATGTTGCCAAGAGTGCTTGGTGGCTTGATTTTGATCCATCCACAGAAGTAACAAGAGTCTGAGGACAAGAGAATCACTTTAGAGTAAAAAGTGTAAAAGAGACACATTTAGAAGGTGAGATATAGACTTTAAGGTTTTTGGTACAGGGGGGTTATGGAGACAAGATGGAGAGATCGGGGCGTGTCTTGTCCTTCTTCTTTCTTCTTCTTGTCCTCCATCTCCTGTGATGATGTTGGCACTTAGAGATTGGTTTATGGTGAAGGTGCACTTGCCAACATGGGCGAAAAGCATTGGGAAATAAAGGTAAATATTGTATACGTAGGTTTTAGTATAAAAAGACATGACCACCCCGTGGGTGGTCAGAGAGTGCCTGTGACTGCCTGCAGATCAGACCTCTGTTGGGCAGACAGAAAAATTTTGTAGATAAGAAATAATAAACAACCTGAAGACCGAAAGCTGAAGAGTCCAGACTCGTCCTTTGCATCGTGCCCACCAAAGAACCACCCTACCCGTGTCGGGGCAGAGACAGACAGCCGGACCCGACACATGCCTGCCTGCCCGTGGGATTTGCTGCAATTCAGCACACAATGGCTGGGCAAGGCTGCTGTCCTGTGGTGAGGAGGGGAGCAGTAAAACCAAAGCAAAACCACTCACCAAACAAGCTGGAGGGGCTGCTCAGTTTCAGTTCAGATTCTTAGGGAGGGTTTTGGTACCAGTTTAAAAATTGAGTCCTTCAGAGAAAGGTAGCTTAGTTACACCATGGGCCATGACATGGGAGCAGTGGCTTCCCATTGCTTCCCTGCACTTGCCCTTGCTGTGAAATGCAGGCACTGCTCCCCTGATAGGGGGCAGGGGCTTCATTTTTAATGGGCAACCCTCTTAATTTGTCACCATTGCTGTAGATCTGATTCCTGATACCTAAGGAGGAATTTTATGATGTTGGCTCATGCAAAGGCCCCAGCTGGAGACTGGGTGGATGGGAGGAAAGCCTGGGGCAGGACACAACTTCTCAGTGCTGAATAGGGTGGGGCAAATATCCAATTGTCTTATATTTAAAAAATAAAAAATCCAAGGGAGAAACTGTGGAGCATCTGTGTCCCTCTTTTCTGTGTCTGCACAGCAGACAAGGCCTACCTGGCACAGCCCGTGCCCCAAAGAGTGTAGGAGGTGGGACACCTTTAAAAATAAAAATCCCGGGAGGACAATGCAATCATGAATTCTTGTCTGAATGCCACAAATTTGCTTAATAGAAACAAGGGCTGGAGTGCAGGCCTGCTCTTGAATAATCGCTTCCACTCTACGGAGCAGAGCACGGAAACCTTTTGATGGTGTTATAGTCATCACTTGGCATAAATATTCATTCAAGGAATCAGAGCAGAGTAAATGGCATTTTAGCTGCTAATAATTTAGTATTAGCAGATAGCCTTTTTACTGCTAAAGATAACCACTGCTTAATCAGTTTAGTGACCACTGGCATATAGTATGACATTTAAGCCTGTGCCTCAGTCCCCGTGTTGAGGACACGGCTGCTGGTGACCCCTCTGCCCAAGCCTCCATCGTTCCCAATGTCAGCCCCAGCTGCCAACTGCACTCAACTGGCTTTAACTTCTGCATTATCTGCCATTTGCCTCCTTATCTTAGATCAAAGAGGAATTTTAAGTTCATACTATGGATGTTAAAATCTAGGATCTTCTCTCTCTTTCTCTTTTTGTGGTCGGGGCTAATGGCTGATCACAGCACAGTCTAATTTTGAGATTAAAAAACAAGCCAGTGTTTAAAGGCAATCAAAATCTTAGGCTTCGTCTCCATTCATCTTTAATGCTGGTGTAATTGCTGCACAGATTCTGGCTCTTCCTGCAGACTTAATTTATTTTATTTTTGGAGCATGCCCCTGTCTGTCAGAGGGATGTTATACTTCCCTGAGCAGCATTAGCGCTATTGAGCACTCCGCCACCGGCAATCCGGCTCACCCCATTTCATATCTTGCCAAACAAGTTAATCTAATATTAACAGCGGTTTGTTACCTCGTTGTTAGCTTAATTTACTTTACAAGAAATGCTATATTTGCATTTCATCCCTCTGTCACTGGCTTGTGAACCGCGCTTCCCAAGGCCAAGAAGGGATGGCTCAGTCCCTCGGCACAGCCCTGCCACACGGGGGAGGGGGCCATCACCCCCACCAGGCATCTTCCCTAATTGGCCAGGGGGGATGTGGGGAGCTGGGAGGAGGATTTCCAGAGCCACAGAGCAGGTCCTGGAAATGCAGAATTGGGAGTAGCACAAATGCTGCTGCTGCTCTTCCAGTAATAGAGCTGAGTCGTAGACAGCGGCTTTCCCTGGCAGCAAGCACATACAGGAAATGTCTTTAGTATGGAAATCAGCAGGCCTCTGGGCACGGGGGCAGACCTCTGCAACACCAACAGCTCCCTCAGGCTTTCAGGGAGTGCTCCCTCACCAGCCCCTCCACACCCCAGGGGCTCACCCAGGTCTGTCTGTCTGCCAGCACAGGAGGGCCCTGCGCCTCACTTCCAAATGGCTGGGGTGAGGGAGCCGTGAGCAAAGTCCTGCAAGCAATCACCCAAAAGCCACTTTCCCCAAATGATCCACAGCCCCATGGAGCAGTGCCAGCTGATGTGCTTGGTGGGCAGGGGGATGGAGCTGGGGATGCTCCACGGGGTGATGTCAATGATCCAGTACCTGGGGCTGTCCCAGCCAGGTCAGGGAATGTGGAGTTGTTGGAGGTGGAAATGGCTTTCCAGTGAAAGCCTCTGACTTAATTGTTCATTAGCTCACTTTGTGTCCCATTGCTAAACCCTGTCCTTGTTTATGGAGCCCTGGCCTCCCACCTCCTCCAGCAGCTGCTGCTTAAAGGAAGGGAATGGCCCCATCTGGGTGTCTTGCTCTGGTTTTAACAGCAAAATGCTGAAGGATGCCAAGGGCAACTCTGGCCAGGCTGAGACATCTGGCAGGGCAGTTTTGTGGTGGTGAAAGTTTTTTGTGAAGGTCTGAGAGAAAGCAGGGCTGGAAGGACCAAACCCAGAGAAACAGCAGGAAACAGAAAGGTGGAATTCAGTAGGGGATCGGCTGTAGATGAAAGCACCAAATATTGGGTGATTTCTGTGAGTGATTGGAGGGCAAGTGCCCAAAACAGAGAGCAGTTTTGCCACAGAAGCACTATGAAGCCCCTCAAAAGTGATGTAAACAGTGGAAGTGTAAATACAAATGCACATCCAGCCTCAACTGCTGGCTGGCCTCATGAACCTGAAGCTGCAGGAGCTTCCTGGAAGGAATGTTTCACTGCTAACTTAAATTATTTGAGGAGAGGAACAAGGTGCTGCCTGCTGTCTGCTTGAAGGGGAGCAGAGGGCCCAGCTGCCTTTTTTAGTCCTTGATAATAACACTGCTGGAAAGAAATGTTGCTAATGCAACCTGGGCTTTTATAGGTGATTTTACTTAGAAAATTACCTTGA